TATGAAAGGCTGCCAGGAATGACACCAACAGATTCCTTTGCAAACATATGACTGTTTTTGCCACATTTATGAGACGTCTTCATATATAGAATGATATAAATGATTGTTAAAAAAAAACAAAATCTAACTATTTTTATTTGGACCAACAAGCTCAAGAGATTCAATGTACTTTCCCCAGGTGATTATCTCTGCCTCTTTATTCAGTCCATGTTTTTTTTTAGTTCTAGCACAGAGTTTTTAACTTTCATCCATTCAAGACAAATATACCTACTGAAAGTTTATGCTTACAAATCACAACAATAAGCTAGCAAAAAGCATCTCAATGTTAAAACGTCCAACTTTTGATGATCCTTTTTGGTACTGTAAGCATCGCTTTATGGGTTTTACTATTTTCTAGCTCATCCTGTTAAAGGTATAGTGGAGGATGTTCTTTTTCTGGGTGGTTTATCAAAATAAGCGGTCCTCTTAATTGTCAATCATTCTGGTGATATGTTTACGTAAGGCTGTGCGCTTGTCCCGATTTTCACTTAGCGGTGGCGAGTCTGACATAGTGGAAAAATTGCAAATCTTCTTTTGTAAAGAAAGCTTGGATGCACGATGCAAAAAGCAACTTTTAAACAGGGCGTGCTCGAGGAGAAATGGGCTTGTGCGTGTTCTCGCACGCATTGAATAGGCGTTCCCTCTCGGGAGCAGGTACAGGGTTGTGCATGAACATTTTTTTTTAGTGGAGAGGGCAGGTCTTTTCAAAAATTTGTGAAGATCCTCAACTATACCTTTAAGATATTTGCTTCAGCCCTGACTTTTGTTGCTCTGTTTATTAAGAAATGTTTGGTTTATTTTGCATTACTCATCTTTTATGAAACAAAACGATCTCTGACCTATTTTTTTTTTACTTTTACCTGATTAACGCTTCTTAGCACAAACCAAAACTTTTTCACTGCAAAATTCCATGTTAACTGGAATAAATTAATGTATCCCATAATGTCACAGTTTTTCTACTGTGTAACTTTAAAGCTGCAAAATCAGCTGTTGCTTATAAGCATCATGTTTTCTACAGGTGATTCATCAGATGTTTAAACTGGTGACCTTTGACTGGATGGATTTTGCCAGGTACAGGTTGTCCAAAATGGGGATGTTTGCTCACTTTGTAGCTAAAACATACCCTGTCGGAGCTTAGCGTACCACTGAGCAAGACCTATAGCTGCAGCCACAGGCTCAACCAATGTGCCAAGAATGTTGTCAAAAACTGTAAGATGTTTAGATAAACCATGAATACTTTTAAAAGTCATTTTAATGTTATTCGTTATTCACTCAATAATGAGATAAGATGAACAAATATGTATTGCCCATCCGTAACAAAAGGATCATTTTAGATTATCAGTTGCTCCAAACTCAAACTTCAACTCTGTCTTTTTATTTTCCTGATTAATACAGAGATTCTGTATAAACAGTTACTGTTTCTGCCTATAAGGATCAAAAGCAGATGACAGGCTAACAAACGATGGTCGATTAGTGAAGCAAACTGTTTAATCTCTTTAATGAACAGGAGGGGACGAGGAGCCAGGGGAGCCACTGTTTCTTACGTGTTGTTGGCGGCTCCCTGATGCTGGGTCGGTGGAAGAACCTGGTGTTACACAAACTGATGTCACAGCAGCAGAAGAAGACTTCAGGAGCTTCGTCCATCTCCACACACTCACTCCTGGTGGAGGAGGAACAACAAAAACACCATCATCATCATCATCATGTTAACATAATAACAGCTAACAACCTACAGTACTGCAGCTGGGATCCTCAGTCAGGACAACAAACTGAAACTGTAAGTAATGCATAAATATAATATATATTGCATTGAAGATTTAAAAACAAAGTGTTCCGTCTGTCAATAGGCTCTATCCAGAACTTCTCAAGTGGAAATGTTTTAGTTTCACCTGGCCTAATTTGTTTAAAAAAAATCTTTTAGGAACCTTTGTTTATCGGATTATCAATTAAAATAAATAATTGGGAGATTAACCGATTTGCAAAATCATCTTTAGTTGTATCCCTAGATGTAATCTTTGGTAATGATGCCAACTGCTCTTAATGGCTAAAATATGCTCAATGTGCAATTGGGAAGTGATAAAAGTCATGATAAGTTGCTGGCTAATTGTAAACACCATCCCATTTTTATAACATCAGCACTGCCATTGTACTTCCCCCTATATTGTTCAGCCCTTTACCCAACTAATGTATGGTTCACACATCAAGCGGCAACTTTGGTTGCATGATACAGAAAGAAAATTCACCTTTGAGCGAATATACGTCTTTTTCACACCCACCCAACAATATAACCATACAAGAAACATTATTGTCTGTTCTTCTCATGGAAATAAAGAAGTACACAACGCTGTTTATATATTATTCATGAAGCAGAAGTGAACTAACCGTCTCCACAGCTGCCAATAAACTGGTTCAACGGGCTGAAGAGGAAAATCACTAAAGCATCAAGTCACTGTTTATGAAAGTAATATTCAACTGGTAACATGATCAGATAATATCTCAGAGATCAGTAAACATACAGTTTAAAATGAAGGTTATTCCTACTTGTAGCACATTAAGATTAAAATTATAACAGCCGGTATTAAGATGTTTACTTGATTAATGTAAATTTCTGGCAACCAGTTCATGGTTCCAAAACTCAGAACCAAGAGGATCGTCCCGATTTTCTGCACCTTGAACTTTCCCAGTAATATAAATCTGAGAGATGAACTGGTTGGAACATTCATCCTGCGGCAGCTTTGAGGCAAACACTTGGCTGCTGTTATGCTTGGATGGATTTTGAAATGTTGAGGGTGGAAATTTACTTTTATTAAACTAATAAAACTTCTGATGGCTCAGGTTATCCTGAGATATCTCTAAAGTTATGTTGGTAACGGCTTAGACTAGGGGGGGATATGGGGATTACTTTAATCAGTCTAGTTAATTCTACTTCTGCTTTCCATTTTTTTCCCTTAGTTTAGCTAAGCTTCATGTCCTGTTTTTTCTTGTCATAGTAGCTTCATCTGGCCTGGTCATAGACAGAGCCACCTATGGAGCTAGTAAAGAGTTTCCTTTATTAACATACAAAGTATTTATGGCTCAGTAGGTGTAATGTTCCTTTTATGTGTCTTTGTGCATTTTGATTCTGCTAGAGGTTTATTTCTTGTAAAAAGGAGTTTTTTTTTTGTTTCTCCACTGTTACTGCATTCATGTTCTATGAGAGGTATTGCTGCAGAACCAACAGCACAAGTGAAGGTCTACTGTCGCTACATGTTCACCCAGGTTGAGCAAATCATATAAAGCCGTCAGCGAATCAGCTGGGTTGTTAACCACTGGATGATTTGTTTCTATAAAGCGAGCCGAGGTGAAATACATTTTAAACTGGCGCTATATGAATGATTGAATAAATATTGACCTCCAAACAGAAGCTGCATTTTGGGTCTGAGCCAGTTATCCCAGCTTGTGGTAATTTATCATAAAATATTAAGAAAAAAAAAAAAAAGTCCAATATGAAAATAACTTGCCTGTATTTCTGCCTTATGTCATTTGCACATAAAAAATAAAACTAATGACGCACCAGATCAGCCTACTACTATTTGGTGAACCAGGAGACTGTTGAACTTTATTGTTCAGCTGCAGTTGACAGGAAAACTAGTTATTTCACCTTAAGTCTCTCAGAAACTACTTTTAGAACCAGAAACATCCCGTTTTCATGACACCACTCTGACTGGTTCTATCTCTGCAGGCTACCTGTCCCTCCGCCTCCTCACCTGTTGTAACAGCTGAGGTCATTCAGCCAGCAGCCCTGTTGGATCACTTTAACCTGTCCGGAGATGTTCTTCCATGTGGAGAAGCAATATACCCGTTTATCCGCCTCCACAGAGCAGTTATTGACTCTGCCACCGTCCCCTGGACTCTCTGGATCCGACACAGGAGACGAGGAGGGCTTGTGGATGTAGTCGATACATTGGCGAATTTCTGAGAGACCCAGGATTGAATCTGAAAGAGCAATAGGTTTGTGTTAGAGTGCGCAAACCAACACTGATGTCCCATTTTGATCACAGGAGCTTTTAGATAAAGATGGAGGTTACTGGGCTAGTGGCAGGTTATCACAGCAGAACCGTCAGATCAAACAGTTTGCCTGCTGAGATTTTTTTAAAAGTAAAACCTACAGATGGCAGCAGGGTCAGAGAGATCACCAGCAGATCTAAGTTCAGCTTCAGGAGTTACACCTGCTGTTGTTTCTGATTACTTCAGTCTGTCCTGAGGTTGAGCTCTCCGAGTTTAAACATGTTGAACCTCTGCTGGAACCTGTCCAGTCTGTGTAGCAACTCACCATCTGCCCCTCAGGAAAGTTTACTTAAGGCTTTAACACCATTATGATTAAAATAAGTCCTAAAAAAAAAAACACCAATCTGTATCCATTTAAAAATAAATCTTCCATTCAGCTTAAGCTGGTGGTGCTCAAATCTAATATGGGACATGAATACATTTGCGTGTTCACACCTGATAGCAATATTTATCTACAGTATGTGTGAATCTTCACAACTGTACCAGTGGTAAGCATAAGTTTTAACTTAACAGGCAAGCCCTCAGTAAATACGATTAAGCAGCGGACTTATTTTGCATTTCCTAAACATACAACTCTAATCGTTAGGGATGATGCAACTAGGGCTGCAACTAATGATTATTTTGCAAATCAATTAATCTGTTGATTATTTTTTCAATTAATAATCACACAACCAAAGGTTCCTTAAAAAGATTTTTTTCACAAATTTAAACAAGGTTAAAATAAAACTGTTCCCTTTAAGGAGTTCTGGATTGAACATGTTGACAGACAAAAAAGTTTTATTTATTTATTTTTTTTTATCTTAAATGCAAAATATTTTACAGATTTTTTCACAATTTTGATATAATTACTGCTCTAGGTGTCTAGCTCTATCAGCTAAAGGCATGTTTTACAGTCTCTATAGTCCAGTTAATGATTAATCGATTACTAAATGAGTTGACAATTGTTTCAATAATCAATTAGTCATGATCAATCTGATTATTTTGTTTCAGCCCTAGATGCAGCAAGCAGACACCAATCAATACCTAAAAAACTTCCAACATTTCTATGTAAAAACTCAAACTTGTAAAGAATGAAAACTTGAGCTTCCTGCAGCCTTTCATGTTGCAGTGAGTTACAGTTGTTACAAACAATATTTCAGACAAAGACAGCCTGTATGTGCTGTACTGTAATAATAAGCAAACTCTTTTTTAAGTCCACGCTGTTTTCACAATATGGATAATGAGTCAAGCAATATTGTAATGGCAATGAATTATTAATATATTGTATAGGCCTAGGCTGCATGGTGGTGCAGTTTAGCGCTGCTCCCTTGCATCTAGAAGTTCCTGGGTGTGATACCATACCACTACCTCACCGTTGCTCCTTACCTACTACACTTTAATGTAAAAGTAAATCCACCTGTATATAAACCATCCGGATTGTACATATGACACCTCAAATCTCGGTGCTACTCCCTTGTGTTTTTTATTTCTTATTTTTATTTTGTTTTTCATTGTGTGTGTGATACATGTACACTTGCACCTTAATCCTTATTTATCTTGATACACTGTTTATACCTTCATATACTGTATATATATATTGTTTATTCTTAATGTTCCTTTTTCCTCCTTTTTTGCAACTTCTTTAAATTACTATGCCAATATGTGACCAGTGAATTTCTCCGCTGTGAGATCAATAAAGTTCATCTAATCTAATCTAATTATCCATATGCATGTTTTGGTTATCTCCGGGTACTCCATCTACATCCGACAGTTCAAAAACATGACCATCATGTTAATTGGTGTCTCTTAATTGCCCTTTGGCATCTGTGCGTCACCATGGTTCCCTGTGATGGACTGCCTAAATTGCTAGAAATAATAACCAGCAGCCAACAAAACAGAAAAGCTGTAGAGATGTGTAAGCCTTTCATTATCCTAGAAAATGTAGGCATTTCAGGGCTACACAGAGCCTGCAAATACTTAATACTTTCACTTTACATGTTTTAATAAGAGAAAATAATGTGTACTTTTGATATTTCTGGTTATATTATGTTAAATATCACTTTAAATTATTAACAAAAGCATTCGGCAAATATTTCCTAATGTAAAAAAGTTTACTTTATCATCAACTACCAAAATGCTTGTTCATTAGATTCTAATGTGAACCAAACTGAGTGATTTGATTGACCTGACTCTGCAAAGTGTCCTGAGATATATTGTTAGCCGTCACCATTTAACGGAACAGATTTTAGGTTCTTAAGAACAAAAACATCAGCAATGTCCCGGTAAGAGTTTTTTTTATTTCCGATACGATACAGATATTACAGCTTTAAGTAAGTAAACTAAACCGATAATGACTTGACTCACTATTAGCGTAATCATATATACTTTTATTATTCATTTTATAATTTTGAATATTGGAACAGGTCCGGTCAAGTGACATTACTTGGAGAACAATAATAGGCAGCTTTTTTAATCAACCAGCTTATATCAAAGATTTCAGATACAGGCTGATAAACTCTGATATTCATTTCCGATATCAATACCAGATTGCAACACTACTATAAGTAACTCTAGATTTCTCTAAAGTGCATTATTTCTAGTAGATTTCTAACAAAACAAAAATTCACTAACTTAATTTATTTCCGCTGAATACTCTGTGAATCATTTCCTTCCTTAGAAAAATGATGTGTACTGAAGGACTGATTATAGGTGGCCTTATCAGATCACATGTTTATGTTTCTAAATTTAATGAAAGCTGGTGATGCTGCTTAAAGTAGTGTCTCAATGACAAGTGGAATATTCTAACAACTTCCTGAATTAAATGCTAAAGGAGCAGAGGGAGCATTAGTGATGGGGATCACCCATGGAAATGGGATTAAAACCAAAGTCTTGTTTAAAGACGCTAAACCAACTTGGAGTGAGCAGACATGTTGACTGTTCCCTATCTGATGGATCTAAGAAACTATAAAAAATAAAAAAGGGTTTATGGAGGTCTACATATTATCAAGATCAAAATGGATCTGTTACCATATTGGGGAGGGAAAAAACTAAAACCTCAAAGGCTCCATCCTATAGAGCTGATCTGAGGAACAGAACAGTTCTGATGGAACATGAACTAAAGCTGCAATTTCAGTTCAGGTTAATGATCCATTTCATTCATAAAAAATAAAAAATAAAACAAAAAAAAGTTTCCCTTTCTGGCGTTTGAGTTGGACTGAAACCCAAATGGGTACCAGCGGTTCTGTGGGCCCAGCCAGGGGACTCTATAACCTGTTATTCTTTATTATTGTTGGGTTATTCTTCTGTTACAATACTCCTGCTTTAAAAGGGCGGCTCAGAACCAGAACACCTATGATAGAAACATAAGAACCCATCATGTGGAGCCCAAAGCACCACAACCACCCACTTCTTGCTCTTTAAATGAAAAACATCCGGGCTAAGACCCCGAAGGAGGCTTTCCAGCTGTTGCAAACCAGAACCAGCTTTGATCCTTTAACCTTCAACTTGGTGTCATTCTGACCTGAGCAGCAGCAGAGGAGAAGGAGAATAATCAGAACCGGTCTGGCTTTTGGTCCCATCCTGCGTCCAATCGGTAATACTTGATATCCGGGTAACTTTTAAACCGGTCCTGATGGACGGAACCACGATCTGATCCAAACAGCTGATTAGGTGTATCTCCGTTTACCGGAACACATCGAGCAAAGTCTCTGTGGATGGAGAGAGAACCCCCTGTTGGACCTGCAGAACTGTCCTGAACACTGATTCCCAGAGTTCGGTAATCATGGCCCCGCTGTGGGCAGCAGAAGTCGGTTCTGTTCAGGGTATCTGGATCCAAACAGAGCTCCAAAGAAGGGACCTGGCTGAGATTTGCTCCGTCGGTATCGTGGTAGGTTCGGGTTCTGAAACCCTCCTACCTCGCCGGTTCCGTTTAAAAAGAGAACCGAACCAAAATTCGATTCTTTTTTTAATTATCTCGTTTCATTCTGACGGTCTGGCGTTAATAACTTCGCCTACCAGAGCCGATGTTAGCTACTAGCTTAGCCTCGCGGACTGAAACAGGAGAACCAATCCTTCCTTCTTCTTAAACTGAAACGGCGACCAGGACTCCGAGGTTCTGGTCCAGAGCTTGGGACGGGTAGGCGTCCAGGTTCAGCTGTGGCTCGGTTCGGTTCTCCTACTCCAACCAACATAGCACAAACATGGCTGCTGTGCAGAGATTAATCTGTTTTTAAGCTTCTTCTACAATATAGTGAGTGACATTGCAAACAGCCAATTAGAAGGAAGAGAGGGGAGCTGTTAGTTCTCCACCAATCAGCAGCTGAATAAGGAAAAGCCCCGCCCCCCTACGGTGATCTTTAAAGGTCCACAACCTTCCATTATCTCACAACCCTGAATTTTAATGCTCTGAAAACTAAATCAAAGTTAGAGATATGAGGCTTTTATATCCTGACACCAGTCTTAACACAGACTAATACTGATATGAGGGTCTATCCTGTCGTGGTTCAAGTTTACAAATTGGAATAGACGGAAGCAATTTGTTTTTGAAAGCACAACTTCTTTCATTGCGTCATAAACACGCGGCAATCCATTCATTTTATGAGCCCGATGATAATTTACAGACTGAACCTGTTTAACCTGCAAACTAGTCCTACTGATTTCATAAACATATCAACTGAGCTGAGTAATAAGGAGCAGCTGTTAGCTAAAATGTGGCACCAATCCTGCCAGATGAATTTCACTGCTTATGTTATAATATGTTGAGATTTTAAAATCCAAGTTTATTCTTGAATTGAAGCCAGAATCTCTTTGATCTCAGTGGCTCTCATCAAATTTGTGCAGGGCTGAACAGCTCCTACACCTGTCCTGGCTCAATGAAAGACTTAAAAATCATGGATATTCAATATAGCTAAAAGAGTTTTATTTAGATTGTATTAAAAGTTTGCAATCAGGTATTGCACCTATAATACACATCTCTGGTCCTAATATCGCTTTTTTTTGAGAGCTGACATGATTTGGGGTTTTCTCAGCAGTTCAGCAGTCTGATGGCGGTGGGGAAGAAGCTGTTTCTAAATCTGCTGGACCTGCTTTGAATGCTGCAAAGCCTTTTTCAAAAGGGCAGCAGGGAGAACAGTCCATCGTGGAGGTGTGAGGGGTCATTGGTAAAGTTACGGACACGGGACATGCAAGTTAAGAGTAACTGACATTAATGAAAGGCAACCTGAGACTAAGATGAACTCTGTATCACTTATTTTTATACAGCCTTTTCTATCAGGCAGCTACTAATAAGGAAGCATAAATATGCTACATGTAAAATGCTAATTTTATAAAATAAGTTTTTTATTTGGTAAAATAAATGTACTACTTATGGTTACTGAATGTTGACATGAAAATGCCCAAAATTGTGTGACCTTGTGTGCAGACTTGGTGAAGTCCTGCTCAATATGGACTCCGATGTTACAAAAGCTGATCACCTTCTCCTCAGGTGCACAATTGATGCAAATGGCTTTCTTTCCTTCTCTTCAAAAGTTGTTCCTGTCTTTTTTAAAGTTCAGGAGTAAACTTTAAAACTCTTCAGCAGGTAGAAAAGTACTAGAAACATTCAGCTAAATTTAACTCTGTGCAAGAGTGATATTCAGAATCAATTTACTCTGCTTTTTTTTTCAGTAATAAACTTTTAGTAATAGCTGTGATGAACAAAAGTCTCAGTTCTGAACTGTAATCTATGTGAACACAGTAACCTCACAGTCTCTGTAATCCAAAACTACAAGCCTTTTTCTTTTTTTTTTTTGACTTTGGTTAGTACTTTAACAAATTCTTGGAAAAAATGCTTGGGTTCAATGATCAATCAATCAATGAATTGTTCTTATATACAACTTTGATACCACTGGTCTCGTTATTTTGTAAACAAAATTTAGAAAAAGTGCAGTAAAGTTGGTGCTTCTCTTAAAGTGGTAAATTACCTCAGTGATGCTAAACCTGAGTAACAGACTCTTTTAGATTGGTTTGTCTTTCCAGGCTGCTTTAGTTAGAACACAGTTTGTCCAAGCTGCTGGGTCCTCTGCCCTTCTTACCAGGGCCAATTTATGCCTATTGACACTGTATAATTCAATTCAGTTTATTTATATAGTGCCAATTCACAACGTCATGTCATGGCGCTTTCCAGTTCACTAGATCATCCAGTCAAATTGATTCAAAGTTTTCTATCTAAGGAAAACCAGTTGATTGCATCGACTCATTGTCTCAAAGGCAATCTGTCACACTAAGCATGCTTGTAGTGACAGTGGAGTGAAAAAACTCCCTTTTAACAGGAAGAAACCTCCTCCCCTACTTGTCAACTGTTCAAGGTGTTGAAATTGAAATTTTTACAAGGGAAAAATATTTAAGTATTTTGGCGAATTAAAACTTGTCTTTTAGACTTTGTATAAGTGATTATTGGATAATGTATATTATTGTGCTATGTGTTTTATGATTGTTTGTATGAATGCTGTGTACATTAATACTTTGTATGTTATAGTCAATTGTCCATACCTGTCTGTCTGCAGACTCACTGGGTGTTTATTTTCCATAAATGTGTTCTTGGGCGTCATCCTCTGTATTCATGCTCATAGGAAACTTCCCCCATTATAAAACTTCATCTTGCTAGACGTCCCAAGTCAGAGCTGAATTCGACTTTGAGCTCTCTGCTCATGCTATATGGGATTAGCAAAAATTATTTTAAACTGTCATATAACTTTTGGGGAATTTAAATATAAAACATTAGTTCAATTGGCTGTCGTAACTATCCAAATGCTGCATTAAAATTTAAGATCTTTTTTTTCTCTTTTGTTGAATTTTTTACACCGCAGTACTGGATTGGTCACTATTGAATAATACCGGTAGGTTTTACTCTTAATAATTTATTCCTTGTTAAACAAAAGATGGTCGCTAACCTCATCCATTATTGTAGGGGGTTTACTGGTATTTCTGGACAGAAAAACAAACAACGGAACTCAGTCATTTTATTCAACATGGTTTAGAGGAGCATCCCTATTTCTAAACAGTCTTGTTGTATTTTGTAATCTTATACAGGAACACGTGCAGAAGCTCTTCACACTTATTTTAATTTATCTTAATAATCAAAGAACCATCAACCCAAACTGCTGCATTAATAAGAACATCTTTCCTCCTTTGTCGGTATGTCACAGATTTTTTTTACTTTCTTAACTTGATAGATAAATAAAGTAGTCAAGATGAAGGAGGATGACAGTGATGGTGAAGATTTTTATAACAACAGTCATGATGATGGTGATAATGATAAAGAGTATATGCAAATCAATGATGATGAAGACTCCTACTGCAGCAATGATGATAACTATAAGTTTATATATACTAACATAATAAGATCATGATAGTTCTGACGATGAAGATCCTACATTAATTTAAATTGAAGATGATGATTATGATGATGATGATTGTGATTACATTGGTGATTGAGGAAATGGCTGAGAAGAATGAGGTTCACTGGATGTTGATCACAACATGAAGAGGATTAGTGGTTATAATGAGAGAAATTATTATATTGATTAATGTAATGGTGATAACTGGGACAACATTGCTGATAATTATAATGGTGATCTGGGTGAAGATGAGAAAGATCATGGGATAGTAGGAGACACTGGGATGAGTTTAGCCATTTTTTTTTAACTTAAGCTGTCCTCTAGGAAATGAAAAACGATACACAATTTATTTCAGGATATTTACCATCAATGGATACACTCAGAATGCATCCATGACATAAACAAGATATGACTTGTTAAACAAACTTGTCTTGTAGCTCTACTTGCCACAGCTTAGGGGGAAAAGTGACCTATTTCCTTATTGAAACATGTGAATCACTTTGAACTATTCTAGGGAAAACCTAAAACCATAACTGATTAGTAAAATACAAATATATTGTTCAAAATATTTTAATAAAAAGAATGGTACAACAATTGAACACTATCAAACAAAGAACTGTGGAACATTGCTAAAAGAGTGGTAGTGTTTGTGCAGTTTTTCTGTTTTTATGAGGCTCAGGTATTCTTTACAATTTTACTTTGAGAGAAAAATGGCACATCATTATTCATAAAAGCATTTAGTTGGGGTCTGTTCAACATTGCTCATTTGGATTTCTAGTTCCTCGCCCTCAAGATTTATGACAAAGCCAATGTTATTGTTGTAGTACTTGCGATCTGTCATAGTTTAGAGACCATGTTTTTAGGTTCTTGGTCTCGTCTTGGTATCAGCAGCATTTTAACTCGGTCTTTCCATGTCTTGGATGGGGTGGTCTCTGGTTTTTTGAACAAGACCTATCAAGATCATTGCTGATAGGCTTTCTTTATACCTTACTTATAACAACAAAAAAGGATCCTCTCAAAACAGTTAATAAAACTTTAAAATCATTGTTAGTGTAGAGATTTCTTCCATCTGCCCACTGCCAGTGTGGCACTGACTGACGCACCCCATGTGTGATCCCCCAAGTGTAGAGAAGTGTGAGACAACAGCAGGAAAACAGCTGTGTGAAAAAAGAAAAAGAACTAATGTTCAAAAATATAATCAATAATACCTTAATGTTAGCTTTATTACACAGCTCCTTTCAATTACCTGGTACTGACTATTTACTTTATCTACCGGTACTTTTCTCTTTGGAATGAAAGTTTTATTGTGACTTATCACTTCAGTTTTGTTGACATCAATTAATTTCAAGAAATTGAATTTTTTTATCATTTCAAGTATGTTGCTTTAGGAAACCGGAATAAAAACTGTTTTTCAAGCATTTTAAAGCAAACTTAAAGGGGGAAAAAAATCGAAATCATATAGGTTTTCTCATTGAGATCCAAGATGACATTTACAAAAGAGATTTGTCTTGATAAATAAACAAAATTATAAAATGTGTTTCTGTTTTTTATGTATATACGGTCTTTGCCTTGTCTAGGTCTCGGTACTCCTTGGTCTTTGTTGGGGAGGTCTTGACTACAACACTAGCCATTGTAAAGTTAGATTCTGTATTTTGATGCAAAGTTACCAATAATAAAGTCACAGAAAAACTGGTCTGCGCTCAGGATGTAATTTTTATTTTGTGTTCTTTTTTAACTGGTGAGTTGCGGCTTAAGGCATGCTCAGTCTTTTTCTGTCATTTCACCTGCTTTTTGTAATCGGCGGGCCTAGTGGCCTCCATTGTATGGCAGCCTCTGGTTTGTTCAGGGGCGGCTACAATAC